GATCAGCAGCCAGGGATCTGAGCACAGATTTCCTCCTATCTGGAGAGCAGAGTCCAATTTTTGCCCACCCTGGCTCCTGCAAGTGTGTGCCAAGGTCACGGGGAACATGTGCAAGGCCACCTGGAGCCTGAGTGCGGGAGGTGAGATTATGTTAGGAGCTGAGATTGACCAAAGCTAACTGCGACTGACCATGCAAGTCTACTCCTGAAAGTTATCAACAGATTCAAAGGTTCCCAAATAGTTCAATCAGACCGATCCCCCAGGAAGACTGCTGTCTAGGCAAGGAGAACGATTCCTGGTGCTTCCTCTTCCACCTTTTCCCTGGAATCTCAGTGATGTTTTCTTTTCACCAAACTTCTTTCAGAGTAGTCAAACCTATCCCTGAGGCCCTTCTTACTAAGCACATCTCTGACACAAAAGACCACTGAGCATTTCCTTTCATTAGAAGGCTCTCTTTAAGGAAATGTCTAACCTGATCTTAAATCCGTGCTGCCACTGAAACCAGAGCCCTCTGTCACACAAAACCTCATTACATTCCCTCCACCATCACCAACAGCCCCCCCCCCCCCCCCCCGCTAGCCTGTGTCCTCATGAAGTTCTTTTTTGCTCGTGCCATGCAAATTATCACAGGCACGAGAGAGTAAAAGATTTCTAGAGATAGAGAGGCCCTGAGTCGTTAGACACAGGAGCAGATGCACAGGGTGTGTCTGGCTTACTCTCAAGGTTGCATAAGCAAGATTTCAAAATCAGTCCTACCCTGGAGACCTCAACCTAGCGGACAGAGTTCCTGGCTGCCACAGAAACTCATGACTCTTCTCTTTTTTCTTCAAATCTTTACCCTTACTCTTGTATCCCCGCCTTCTCCTTGTGCAGGAAACTTCATTTCCTACTTCTGCACACCAAGTTCCTACCTCCAGATCTGCTGGGTTCAGTTGCTGAGAAACCTGACCACCCAGTGCCACTTGGAAGAAGCCATCCCCTGGTGAGTCGTGCATTTTCCGTCCCTTTGTGGATCATAGGCTCAGAGCGTCTCAGCTCTGGAGATGCAGGGGCTGGGAGCACTCTGAGGGGCTGCACAGCCCAGGAACTTGGGTGTGAGGAAGGTGGAAAGAGAGGATGCATGGTGGTGTCTGCACCCAGGAATATTGAGAGAGACCATGGTGACAACGAGGAAGCGCAAAGCAGGGTGAGACCACCCTCAGGGCCCAGGTGATTCAGAGAGTGCACTGAAAAAGAACAACCAAGAGAGTGAGGACAGTCAGGCATTTCCACTACTGCTCCTCTCACCCTGTCCCTCCCAACTCCCAAGGGCTTTGAAGAGCTGGAACTTTCTATCCAGAATTTTCTCCCCCTCTAGTCCAGGCTCCAAACCAAAATGTGCCTCTTGCCTTAAACCAGGAGGCCCACAGAGGCCGAAATGAGGGGCTTACTTTTCTGAGAGGCAGCTTTTCATCAGCTCTGGGTGACATATCCTGACACTTGACAGGGACACTTAGACATTTAGGTGCATTTCAGCCACCTCCCTAAGTGTCCGCTGCGGTAGGAGCTAAGGGTGCTGGAGTGACAGGAGAGAGGTGACAAGTGGCCTGCCTTGGAGAGGCCAGTGCAGGTACACAGCAAAGTTCAGAGAACGCACAGAGGAAGGGGTAGAGGCAAGTCACCCCCTCGTATCTCCTCACCCTGATCTGGATCATCAGAGCGAGGGTCTGGGCTAGATATTTCTAACTGCCAGACTTCCTGTGTGATATGGGAGCCGGTATTGAGGACCACTGCTTCAGTCCACATTTTCCCATATAAAAGAGGAATCTAAAACCCTGCTTAAATACAGAACCGCTGAGAGCTTGCTGCACTGAGGGGCTTGGATCCCTGGGATGCTCATTTTTACACTGGATTACCTGGGCATCTTGTCCCCGGTGGAGCATTCTGTGTCTCAGTCACTTGCAGCCCGCTAGTTCTGTTAATCACTTAGTCCACGGATATTTATTTAGAAGCAACTATGTGCTGGGTTGGGTTCTGGGACACTGCGATACTTCATTGCAAAGCCAAAGATCTCTACGCTCATGGAGCTTGGGTTCTGGTGGGAGTGTGGGGGGATACGGGGTGAGGGGGTAGGGAATGCTTGCACATGCATGGGCGGGACATGTTGGTGTGGGTGAGTGTGGATTCTAAAGGCATGGGAAAATACCTAGAAAATCTGTTACTTGTTCTTCTACACCCATCTCTGCTCTCAGAGCCCGGAGATGGGGTGACAGCTTCCGAGAGTCCCAATCCCAGCTCAGCCACTGCTTGCTTTGTGGGCTTGGGAAAGCCATCTAATCAGTCCATGCTTGCATTTCTTCACTTGTTAAATGCACCGTTATCTCACACATTTGTTGCAATGAATAAATTAATGAATGCATGCAAAGTATTTAGCATAGAATCTGGAGCTTAACAGAGGACTAGCAGGCTGCAAGTGATTACAGTTTTCATTCTTTGGGTGAATGCACATGATCAGAGATGTTGGTCAGGTGCTGCAGATGTCAAGAATCTGGCTCAGTGCTATGAAATGCAAGATCTGTGAAATGTACCAATCATAGGAGGAATTAAGGAAGGCATACACATATAAAAAGATGTGTATGTAGATACAAACAAATCCAAAGTCACTGCCAGAAAAAAAAAGAGAATATTCTTGAGAATCAAGCCTGTTTAATGTTATACTTTCTATTGGTGCCTCCATTAGCCAGGTGCCATCATAAGAGCTGGAGGTAAACACATGTTCTAGTTCTTGACCTCAAGGAGCTCAGTGTGTAGTAGATAGGGTGATACATGCTTACTTAGAGGCATGCACTGTGTTATGAGATGATTTTAAAAAAAGAGGAAGGAGGAGGCTTTACAGAGAAGGGGAATTTGAGCAGGAGGTAGTGGAGGATGAATGGGAGCTCACCAGCCATTTTAGACAGAAGGGAAAGAATGTGCAAAACCGAATGTGGAAAAAAGAATGTGGAAGCCTGAAGGAAATGACGAGTTTGGGGTCATGGAGAGAAGAGGGCTATGTCTGGAGCAGAGGGCCTGGAATTTGAGGAGGGGTTAGAGGTGACGCTGAGAAGTGAGTTGAGAAAGAGTGTGATGAGCAGTCTGGGCATTACCTTTGAAGTCCCATCACATACATATCCTGGGGCCGAGAAGGGCACGATCCAGTTTCCGTTTAAGACAAGACAGAGTGAAGGGAGCATGGCCAGGAATAACCTTGAGCGAATGAGAGAGACCACAACAAAGCCAAGTGTGAGAAGCATCCGAGGCAAGGAAGTGGTCGTGGAAAGAGGCTCAAAGGGATGGATCTCAGAGGTGTTTATGAGGGAGAAGTCATGTGGCATCATAATAACAATACAGAGCGTGCCTCCACACCAGCTGCTGCTCTAAGTCCTTGTCTCCAGCCATCTTCACGGCAGCCCAGCCTCGCTCATATTTTATACATAAATAAACTGATAATTGAAGAAGTAATTAGCCCCAAGTTACACAACTTGTTAGTTGGAGGCACAATTCTAATCGAGGTCTGTTTGACTCCCACGACCTGGTTCCTAAGAATGCCCAGTTCTGCTTCTTGGCGAGTGTAGTGAAACACAATAGCCAAAGAAGAACCCACAGGTTGAAGCAAATTTCCAGGGCTGTGCAGTGTGGGCTACGTGGAATTTGAGGTACCTGTATGGCCCCCACCTTGCCCACTGTTGTAGCTCTAATGCCTAAGACAGAGCATGGCTCCTAAGAGGAATTCAATAGATAAATGAATTAAATCTAAGGGGAGATACACAGTAGATAGTGAGTGGAAAATTCCACTCTTATGTATAGTAGAGACTGGAAGATAGAGCTTTGGGAAGCATTAGCCTTCAGGGGATTTAGCACCCTGCAATTAGGAGACACAATTCAGGAAAAACTTTGGAGCGAGAATGAAGAGGAAAAAGGTAAAGAGGAGAGAGCCAAGAATGGTGCCTGGGGACTCTTACAGTGTGGGCAGGGGGAGGAGACACCAACGAAGAAAATTCATAGGAAGTGGTTGAGAGGGGAGCTAACCTGTTTTACTTGGAGGGAGTTATCAGAAGGATGGACGGCTCAATGAGGATGAATCTGAAAGGAAGCCAGGGCATTTAAATATCGGGTTGTCATGGCAACCTTAGCAAGAGTCATTTTGGCCAAAATGATGAAGGCAGAAAGTTGAGAAGATTATCAGTTAGAATACTTTTGGCTGCAGGTCACAGAAAAGGCAATTCATCATGGCTCACTTTTCTCAAGTAATCAGGGTGGGTTTGAGTCTGGGGAATGTTCGGACTCTGCTTCGGTTTGCTCCAATTCCCTGGGTCCTTCAGTCTTGGTCTCAAGCACAAGCTAAAGAGCAGAAGGTCAGGCTGAGGTTTCTCTTGCACCTCTCTTATCAGAGAAGAGTGTATGCAGGAACCTTCAAACAGAGTCTCCTAGATCCATGGTCGGCAAACTTCGGCTTGCGAGCCACCTGCGGCTCTTTGGCCCCTTGAGGGTGGCTCCACCACAAAATACCACGGCCTGGGCAAGTCTATTTTGAAGAAGTGGCCTTAGAAGAAGTTTAAGTTTAAAAAAATTGGCTCTCAAAAGAAATTTCAATCGTTTGTACTGTTGCTATTTGGCTCTGTTGACTAATGAGTCTGCAGACCACTGTCCTCGATCATCATCCAGGAATGGGTCATCTGCAGAGGAGGGAGGGAGAGCAAGTGTGCAGCACACTTGCCTTATAATGAGAGTCAGGCTCTCTGGGGTGGCCAACGGGGCTGGCCAAGGGCGGTTGGGGAAGATGACTAGCTTCTCTCCTGGGAATAAAGGGAAGTGGTACACTAGCACACATGCTTTCCAGGAGATGGCTTCGAAGCAAAGACAGAGACTGGACTCGACTTTAGGAGCAAGGATACTTTTCAGACTGAGAACTGGAGCCCTTATGTTGTGTGTTACCATCTTGTTCTCTGCTTGCAGGACGGAGGAGGATGGCAGGCAACGACATGCTGATCGAGTTGAGCCACAACATACTGCCCACAGCTCATTCTCTGCTGACAACAAGCATCCGGGGGGACGGGGCGGAAACCACCACCGTCTTTGACTATGGGGACGAAGGTGTGCCCTGCGTGAAAGACGGCGTGAAACAGTTCGCAGGCAGGTTCCTGCCCCCCCTCTACTCGCTGGTGTTCATCTTCGGGTTCGTGGGCAACCTGCTGGTCGTCCTCATCCTGATCAACTGCAAAAAGCTGAAGAGCATGACTGACATCTACCTGCTCAACCTGGCCCTCTCCGACCTGCTCTTCCTCCTCACGTTCCCCGTGTGGATCCATGCTGCTGCGAATTGGTGGGCCCTGGGGAACGTGATGTGTAAAGTCTTCACAGGGATGTACCACGTTGGTTACTTTGGAGGCATCTTCTTCATCATCCTCTTGACCGTTGACAGATACCTGGCGATCGTCCACGCGGTGTTTGCGTTAAAAGCCAGAACGGTCACATTTGGGGTGGTGACCAGTGGGGTCACCTGGGTGGTGGCCGTGTTCGCCTCTCTCCCAGGAATCATCTTCACCAAATCCCAAGCTGAGGAGTCTCTTTACTCCTGCGGCCCTTACTTCCCAGTCGGATGGAAGAATTTCCATACGATAATGAGGACACTCCTGGGCCTGGTCCTGCCCCTGCTGGTCATGGTCGTCTGCTACTCGGGAATCCTGAAGACCCTGCTGCGCTGTCGCAACGAGAAGAAGAGGCACAAGGCCGTGCGGCTCATCTTCGTGATCATGATCGTCTACTTCCTTTTCTGGGCCCCCTACAACCTCGTCCTGCTCCTGGACACCTTCCAGGAGTTCTTCGACCTGAGTACCTGCAAGAGCACCAGCCAGCTGGACCAGGCCATGCAGGTGACGGAGACCCTGGGCATGACGCACTGCTGCATCAACCCCATCATCTACGCCTTCGTCGGGGAGAAGTTCAGACGCTATCTCTCCGTGTTCTTCCGGAAGCACATCGCCAAGCACCTCTGCAAACAATGCCCAGTTTTCTACCGGGAGACCACCGATCGGGTGAGCTCCACCTACACCCCCTCCACGGGAGAGCAGGATGTCTCAGTGGGTTTGTAAATGAGCGGCGATCTGCTTGTTAAAGGGAGATACCCATCTGTCTATAATATGATAAGCCTCAAGGGTTTTGAACTATACAGACCTGCAGACCTCTAAGATCAATGCCCAGGAGGTCAAAAACCTCAGGGTTGCAGGTACCAAGAAAGACCTATGTCACTCCTTGTACAGCCAATGTGTACTCAGGGCATATTCCAGAAGCGCCGTGGGTAGAGATTGACTGCAGCCAACTCGTCTCAGTTCCTAGAAAATGCTTCATTGCCAGTGCTTATGCTCTTGCCCCCGCCTTCACCATCTTCTCCGCTCGCTCTGATTCCATCAGTCTCTTTAATCAAGTGCCCAGTGAGACAGCTGTGGGTGAAGGAACTGGGTGAGTGGGCGCGGCCACGTGCAGGGGGAGGGAGGCGTGAGCATGGCTGGGCCTGGGTGGAGATGCAGAGAAGGGGTTTGCTCGTTCAACCAGGCAAGGAGTGGCCCTGAGCCTCACCTCCCACCTGTGTTTGACTTTGAAGGCTTCCCAGGTCCTGAGCTTGGGGACTGGACTCACTTTCTGACAGCTTTGCTTGGGTCACATGATCCTCTTCTGTGTAAGTGCGTGACACATCCTCACTTTACTCTGTCTTGCCTATACCAACACTGCACCCTACCTTTGAAATCTGTTTAACCTACTATTGTCCCACTGCCCCCATGTTTCTTGGACCACATCGCCCTGTATAAAAACGTACACAAATGTTTGATTGTGAAATAGGCATCTTCTCTAATGAGATGGAAAGTAAAGCCCTCCCTTGGTCTTGCCAGGGAAAGGGGAGGGTGGGAGGCAATGATTATGATCAGTGAGTTCCCCCATCAGGAGTGTAGGGCCGTAGCAAGAGTGAGACCACCCCAGGAGTGTTTTCAGCATCAGCTGCGGGGGAGGCCAGGAAGGACCCTCAGCACCTCCCAAGGCCTCGCCTCGCAGACCTGACAGTGCAGCTTCTGCTGCCTCTGCCTCTCCAGGCCTTCTGGCCGCCCTGGCCCTGTTTCCCCAAAGCCTCTCTCTCTGCCTGGAGGGAGAGCCGACTCCATAGGCCAGTCTGTGGAGGTCCAGGAGAGTAAACCTGGGGAGAGCCTGAAGGCAACTGTGCAGCAAGGATCCTGGGTGGGCCGGGATGAGGGAAGACAGTGGGTGGGAGCCCCGGGCTGTGTCCTTGGACGGAGAAGGGGCCCCGCACTGACAATCTCACATCAGCCACGTGTCTGTTTCTCCGGACCAGCAGGCAGGGGGCTTCAATGAAGATGACTTTGGGTGGGTGGTGGGAGGGCAGAATACCAATGTTTTCCATGGGGATGGATGGGGATGGGGGTGGGGTTGGGGGTGGGGGTGGGGATGGAGGTGGAGTTGGAGGGGGATTAACTGGGAAATTTATATGTCTATGCATAACCCATGGGCCCAGGCAGTAGTGGCAAAGGCTTGGGAGGAGCTGGTGCGGGGAGGAGGGGGTCAGTGGGGAAGAAAACAACAACACAGCGGACATCTGTAATATTTTCAACATAACGATAAATTAAAAAGAAAAACAAAGACATGAACAAAACAAAAAGCAAAACAAAGAAAAGTTTTCCTCTCTTAAAATGAGGATGTGTGAAATTTCAGTTATACAAGATGAGCTTCCTTTCTGGATACAGGGGTAGAGTTCAGACGTAAAAAAAAAAAATAGTTGAAAGATGAAAACGGCGGCTTGTGAATGTGCTAACCTACATTTAAAGAAGTGTTATCGTGCCAAGCCTGAAAGTACTGTGTTCGTCATGGAGACAATTCTGATTTTGAGCTTAAAGTCTTGGACTGCAGCTCAGCAGACACAGCTGTAGGCAGGGGGTCTGCGGTCTGCGATCTCGGGGCATCCGACCTCAATAGCAGCCGCTGGACCAAGCGCTCCCCTCACCGGCAGCCCAGCCCAGCCCAGCGCCCCCCCCCCCCCTTCATTATCTGACGTGCTGCATCATTATCTTGTTTTGCATCAGTTAGTCAAGGAAGGCGTAGATTTAATCACATTTGAATGCTTCCAGCCTTTGTCAATGTCCGTATTGATGCTTGGATTGTCCCCTTTGGCCGGTGGGAATTCCTAAATCAAGCTGACCCCTAGGCAAAGCTTTAGGCCTTCTTCGTAGTAAAGAAGGGGATTCGTTCACCTAAGTCAGCAAAGGTGAGCCAGGTCAAGCATGTGTATCCGCGGTACCCGGTACATGTCTGACCTGATGCAAGAAACACGGGCTTTCGGAACCTGGCTCTCGGGACCTGGAAGCTACTGTGGTTTTACTTTCTTGTTTCATGACTAGAGAAGGATCACAAAGAAGAGGTGGGAGGGGGATGGGGGGAGAACCGGTGGTGGGGGGGGGAGCTTTCTCCCTCCGGTATTTGTATCATCCCAATGAATGCATTCAATTCTGTTTTGATGATGAAATGTTAAGTCTTGTTATGACTCTGAAAATGAGTCAACGCTCTAACTATATTGTTTTAAAAAACCCTGTTGGTTAAAAACACCCCATTTCCTCCTTCCCCCCAACTCTGGCAACCACTGCGCCCTCCGCTTCATCTCTGAGTTTGACTCCCTTAAGTAGCTCCTGTGAGTGGCATCAGGCAGTGCTCGTCCTTCTGTGCCTGGCACATTTCACTTAAAATAACGTCCTCCCGTTCACCCGTGTCACAGGGTTTTCTTCCCTTCTGAGGCTGAATAACATTCCACTCTGTATATATCACATTTTTTTTTTTTACCCATTTAGCAACATGTGTAAAATTTCAGTTATACAAGATGAGTAAGCTCGAAATGTCTGCTTTACAACACCGTGCCTATAAATAACAATTCTGTATTGTACACTAAAAAAATCTGTTAAGAGGGTAGGTCTCGTGTTAAGGGTTCTTACCACAATAAAAAAAATAAATAAAGCTTTTCTTTTTTTTTTTAACTGCCTGTTTTGTTGGACTGAGGTGCCATGATCGCAACGTTTCCCTCCTTCCCCGTGTGATTACACAAGACTGTCCCTGCTGAGTGACACCCCAGCCCACCCACAGGTGGCCCGGCCAGTGGGAAGTGAGCGAAGGGACACGGGCCGTTATTAACAGTGGCTGGGCTGAGCCTCAGCCACTGACAGGCCGTCCCAGACCAGCACTCCTTCCGCCCAGGCGTCCTGGGGGCCAGGCCAGAAGACACAGAGAGCAGAGCCTGGTCCCTGGCCACACAGCAGCCACACGGCGGCCACACGGCGGCCACACGCCCCATAACAAGAGGTCTGTGTGAAGCCCCTGAGTTGTGCGTTTGTTTGCTCAGCAGCACAGAAGCTAATTAACACATATGATACATAGAGGCTTCCTAAGAGAAATGCAATGTGGCAAACACACCGAGGATCTATGAGGTCAGATATTAATGCCTGTGCCCTTTTGACTTTATTTATTTATTAATTTTTTATTTATTTATTTATTTTATTTTTTAAAATATATTTTATTGATTTTGTACAGAGAGGAAGGGAGAGAGATAGAGAGTTAGAAACATCGATGAGAGAGAGTCATCGATCAGCTGCCTCTTGCACACTCCCTACTGGGGATATGCCCGAAACCAAGGTACATACTCTTGACCGGAATCGAACCTGGGACCTTTCAGTCCCCAAGCCGATGCTCTATCCATTGAGCCAAACTGGTCTTGGCTATTTATTAATTTAAAAAATATATATATTTTTTATTGATTTTTTTTTTTTTTTACAGAGAGGAAGGGAGAGGGACTGAAAGCCAGAAACATCGATGAGAGAGAAATATCGACCAGCTGCCTCCTGCACACCCCCCACTGGGGATGTGCCCACAACCAATGTACATGCCCTTGACCAGAATCAAACCCGGGACCCTTCAGTCCGCAGGCCGACGCTCTATCCTCTGAGCCACACCGGTTTCAGCTGACTTTATTTTTAAAAATATGTTTTTACTGATTTTAGAAAGAAAGGAAGGGAGATGGAGAGAGAGAAACATGGGTGAGACAGAAACATCGACTGGCTGCCTCCCACACTGGGGATGGAGCCCACAACCTGGGCATGTTCCCTGACTAGGTCAACACTCAATCCACTGAGCCACACCGGCCAGGCATATCTGTGCCCTTGGGCCTCACTGCCGCTGGGGGAAGGGTAGAGAGTGGGGTGATGTAGAAATCACAATGCCCGCTGCAGAGCGCAGAAACCCGTAGATGTGAACATTTTCTGGGAGCCCAGAGGAGAAAGTGCCTGACAACATAGACCTACGTCGCAGTAACAACCATTACGGCGGGATTTCTCGGCGCCAAGGAAAGTGCCATTTCCAGACGTGGGCACCTCCGGGCTCTTCTCTCCCGGGAAGAGCATGTGAGGGGGCTGTTTGAGCTCAGGGGATACCAGGGAAGGCCAGCAGGCTTCAGGATGGCATCTTGAAACTCTTTAGTGGCGTATGGGGCACAGGAAGGACGCCAGAGACCAGTTCCAGGAGGTTAAGGGTCAGGCACATCGAATCCCTGACGACAGAAGTCAGAGTGCCCTGTCCTCCTGGTGTGGGCAATTGGGGGCCTTTGAGCATGCCTCAGGGAGGGCCTGCAGCCTCCTGGGAAGAGGCCAGGCAGACCCCACCTGTCCCCTTGGCTTCCTCCCATTACTAAAGCTTCCCTGACACACTGCCGTGGCCTCAGGGAGCTACCCAGCAGCCAAGGCCGCCAGGGGCAGCCTGCGGGAGAGAAGAGGGTCTGGGCTGGTGCCCGGCCTCTTGCAAGGCAGCCCAGAACTCAGCGCGGCCCTGGGTGTGGTGAGTGACTGAGGTTGGAAACTTCTTCAGATGCTGCCTCTGTGGCAGCAGGTTTAACTTGACCCGTGTGCTCTCACATCCTGGGGATGTCCTTGCTGCCCCAGTGCCACGCCCTGTCTTCCCGCCACCTCTCTCCAGCGCCCCCTGTCCTTGCTCCGCTGGCCTGCTGCCTTAGCGGTTGCCCCTTGAAGAATGTGGAGCTCATCGCTTCCATAGA